GGCATATCGTGGCCGACTGTGCGATATATGATCGGTGAGGTGCAGTACGGTGGAAGGGTGACCGACGACTACGACAAACGTCTTCTTAACACATATGCCGCAGTATGGTTCTCGGAACAGATGTTTACTGATACCTTCGAGTTCTACACCGGCTATAAAATACCCAAGGGACGCACCATCGAGGATTTCACCACGAAGATTTCAGAACTGCCACTTACCGACTCTCCCCAGTGCTTCGGTCTTCATCCGAATGCGGATATAACGTTAGTTCTTCTGACTGTAACACACGCGCGTGATATGTTTATGATTTTGAGTTTAATTTTGTTGGTCTGCTATTCTAAGTTTGATTTTATTATTCCTTCTTACAGTTACCAGACCAATAACAGTGCTTCAATGCTGCAGACAATAATCAATATCCAACCGAAAGACAGTAGTGGAGGGGGAACTGAAACAAGAGAGTCTGTCGTTTATCGCCTGGCGAAGGAGATGGAATCAAAACTACCGCCCGATTACAACCCGTTTGAGGTAATGGGGCACTTTCGTCCTTCCTCTTACGCCCGTTATTCATTCCGTTTGATCTTTCTTGATTCCTTTCTAAATCTTACTAAATTCACACCCACTGGGGCTTTTATAATTTGAAATTCACAAATACCACTACTGTAAAGAACCATCTGAAGTGCGGACACAGGCATTAAAATATGGTGCACCCAGCAGACCGCCAAGGTCAATATGTTTAGCTTTATATTAACGCCTACTAGAAATACATGTTAGTAATGTTTATTTCCTCTCAGGTGAAAGACCGGCTGGAGAAGATGGACTACCTGAAACCGCTGCACATATTCCTGCGACAGGAAATAGATCGTATGCAGAGGGTAATAAGCGTCGTGCGCTCGACAATCAGCGATCTGAAGCTGGCCATCGATGGTACGATCATCATGTCGGAGAATTTACGTGATGCTCTGGATAACATCTTTGATGCCCGAGTTCCAAACTCGTGGAGGAAGGTTAGTAGGAGCATTTGACTTGCGAGCATATTATAATGACTTTGTAAACTGATTAACCTGGGGTTACTTTTTTTTCATAGGAGGAAGGAAATCCGTGACAAAGTGATTAACCAAAATTTGCATGGCAGTTTACTCACTGTTTTTGAATACTTAGCCAAGAGCGGTTTCGTGTATTGCAGATCAGCTGTTTCTCCGAGGAGAAAAAATTCGGGAACATTTGTTAGTTTCATACAACCTACTGAATCCGTCAAGCTCTATGTTTAGGTGTAAAGTTCCATTTCAAGGGGCTGAGTAGCCTTGCGGAGGTAGCGAAACTTCATACTTTTTGTTTTGATTTTCAAAACATAAACAACCGATATACTCTGCACAAAGGCATACTAATGAGGTGGTGCCTAGGATTTCTTGTGGAATCGTACTGTCTGAGAGCAGCGTCAGGCAAATGGATATTAATTGCGGTTTTCTTTGGCGCCTGGGAGGTCTACATTTTCCTCTTTTATGATTAAAATATCCGTAAAGGTTGTCGCAAGGTTATAGGAACTACCTCGGGTTACATATCGTATAAAATGACGGATGGTTCTCCTTCATTCCCTTCACTGTTTCACTAAACAATAACTTTCTAGTTCTGCCGCGAGTTTTGCAAAATAAATTATTATGGCTTGGCCCTATCATAAGGATGAATGGGTTTCATTCCTGCTTCGCCTGTTGTCCACATAGTGATCAAAGAACCTCGTTTAAATCGAATTTTCCGTCTCTTAATTTGATTTATTAAATTCCTACACAGAAATCCACAACACCTAAAATCTGTTGCAGGAATAGTTGTAAAACATTTAGGTGCAGTTTGTCATTCATGAGCTCCTCCTGGTGGACTAAACATAAATATTATTTTTGGCATTTACTGACTGATTGGAAGTCAAAAATAAACCAACCCACCTGCTCATGCGCAGATTTCCTGGAACTCTGCAACACTGGGATTCTGGTTTACCGACCTTTTGGATCGAAATCTCCAATTCCACGACTGGCTATTCCAAGGTCGACCAAATTGCTATTGGCTTACTGGCTTTTTCAATCCCCAGGTAATCTAATTCTCTGAATATATGCATCGCCTTATCTTTTCTCTAAACCATATCATAACAGTCATCCATTCTCTAAGAGCACTATAAGTAATAACTAATCTATCGACAATGTGTTTGAGACCACGTTTTGTTGTTACTTTAGGGATTCCTGACGGCGATGCGACAAGAAATTGCCAGGGCCAACAAGTACGCACTTGATGACGCCGTGCTAATAAATGATGTTACGCGGATGAGTAGCGACGAAGTGCAGAGAGGTGTCAGTGAAGGTAAGTTTGGACAACCTTTTGAAATTTTTTAGTCTTTTCAAGAACCTATGGAGGCGCGTACACACGCATATTCAGGCTTTAATTAAGAAGCTCCCGTTCAGGTTACATACGGCAAGATACGGATCACACCGGTCTTATAAGATCAAACTGCTCTCAAGTACACGTTATCGGATCTAGATTTCCCAATGCATGGGAGGCTGAACCAGCAACTGTTGTAGACTCAAACATACCAATCTCCTTCAGCCCTAAATTCGTCCATCTCTTGTGACTGCAAGCAAAAATTGTTCGTATAACCCAATGAGGATCTACCTCACGCGGCGAGATAAGCGATGACTTTTGCGTGATTTAGATTAGTGCAGAACTAGGTCAAATCCTGGGATTTACCCGCTCTAGTGGATAGTTTTTTTTAGCTTGGTAGTAAATATCTGAGTATTTTCTACAGTTTTCTCATTAATAATAATAATAATAATTTGTATATTTAAGGCCCAAGGGGCCCCGTCGTTAAGTTACTTCCGTTGGTGGGTTTGTTGGGGTTAGCTGGTGGACGAAGCGAAGCCTGAGGGCCTTGTTACAAACTTAACAGCTGTGCAGAAATATAAGACTAATGTTATGTGAGTCACAAATATTGACGACCGATAAGACTGGCAGGAAAGTTACTGCTGCATTTTATACCATTCCGGGCGACCTGTATAAGCCAAAAAGCAGAATTCGGCGTGGCTACGGTATTTTTGATAAAACATAAGTTAGCATGAAACCATGCGAACCTTAAAAAAGGGAACAGAAGCCAAAAAAGTCCTGCCCCTTTTTGAACAAATCGAATTTCAAGCTCAAGGAGAGAATGTAAAATCAATTAATTCAAAGAACGCCATTCATACATGAAGGACGGATGCAAAAGGGTAAGGGAAATAGCAACAAGAATCGAAAGTGAAAGTAGGCAGGAGTTTCCTTGGTAGTGGCGGAATAGAGCCCCACATTTCCAGCTTTGTCGACAGCGATTTGAGCTCGATTCGGGTTAAGGGTTAGGATTAGGGTTATGGTTAGGGTTAGAGGTAGGGGTTAGGGGTTAGTGTTAGGGTAAGGGTTAGGGGTGACGATTAGGGTTATGGTTAGGGTTAGGGTAAGGGTTAGGGGTTATAGTTAGATTTAGGTTTAGGGTTCGGGTAAGGGTATGGGGTTAGGATTAGGGCTATGGTAAGGGTTAGGGTAAGGGTTAGTGTTATGGCAAGGGGTTAGGTGAGGGTAAGTGTTAGGGTAAGGGTTAGGGTAAGCTTTAGGATTAGGGGGGTTAG